CACGCACGCACGCACGCACGCATGATCATGTGATTCTACAAGCTGCATCTGACTTCGTCAGCTCAGCTAATAAATACACAAAATAAGTCCATTATCTCAAGCTTAGCTTCGCTGCCCACTCTATGTACACAAACGCGCGTAGCAACAACGGTTGGAAACAGCTGTACCATCGTTTCTGATAATTCACGTGCTGGGATGGCACATGCTCATGACGTCACTATTTAAAGGGCGTTCCAGGGTTAGCTTATACCAGGTAAAGCGTATGCAGGGATTTTGAACTGTTTGGAAGGCTACATACATAATATCTACATGTACATAGCTGCCCATGGGCGCCTATGTATAATAAAATGCAGTGTTTCCCCTGCATTGACACGAGCGAGGCGGGCCGCCTCGCTCAAATTCTCAGCTGCCACAAAGAAATTTGTCTAAAACACCACCTCACTGACCAGCACCAAATTTCACAATTTTTTCTAAAATTTTCCGGAGGGCATGCCCCCCCCCCCTAAGCTGGGCGTGTACCTGCGGTGCTCCCTTTGCTAGGACCTCGACGTGCGCAAACACACCAAAAAAAATTTACCACCTCACAGACCTTTTTGGCGAGGGGAAACAATAAAATGTGTATTGAAATTTCGACTGAAAATCACCTACCAACCCTGACAGTATCCTTAACAACTACACTTACACGATCTCTGTCAGCAATAATAGCACACTGTTGCACTCCATCACCATTTCAGTGAGCTAGTGATACTCACCCCCTCTATGAGGACCAACTGTCGGCAGCCTATCCGTGCCAGGTTAATATTGAGTGTGTGCGCACGAAATGTAGCCACGCCTTCCTGCAGCCGCCGAAGCTTCGTAGCGTGTGCAACATCATCGGTCAGCCGACGCTGAGCACGCGTTTTCTGCAAAAATGAGATCAACTATTTGATATAAAGTAATTAAGATTCTTCTGCTCTGTCATATGGCAACATGCTAATGGCACACCTGCTTAATATTACATGGGGAATAGATAACAAACTTGTCTTGTGTCTAATGAGGAATAGGTAGTGTACACACCTGTCTTCTTCAGCATGAGATCATGCTGTTCACACCTGCTTCATATTACATGCCTTCATCTGCATTGTGTCTTACAGTAAACAAGTAGCAAATTGCCATGTGATGTTTTATGGGATCAGCTATATGACTTATCTACTTCCTCATGCTGTAGGGGAACATGTAGCAGACTTACCTGTCTCATGCTGTAGGGGAACGTAGTACATATTAGCCATATGTGCATTAGAAGTCAACTTACTGCAATTTAAGAGTTACCGTTCTAATGAGTCTTCTATGGAGTTTCCTCGAAAATTCTGTTAGTGCATCAGGCTGTTATTGCATGTGTGGACATTTATGTGAATATGGAAATTCTAGAAACCTGATAAGTTTATCACTAAAAACTCTACGTAGCAGCAAAACACCACAAATGTGCAACCCCACATACTTCAGTTACATCCATAGTTTGCTGAAGAACTCTGTTTCAAAAATGGACCAGGCGAATCTCCGTGTCATTGACATTCATCTGACAACCGATATACAAGTCGAAAAAAACGTGCAAACGAAATGTAATGATGTATTGAATCCTCATAGTCATAGGGTAAATCCAGCACACTACTACTACTAAGCTCTGTATGAATTATATATACCACATCATAGCAGGTCCTGCGACCGCTTATGTTCAGATCTAGGTTGTCCGTCGGGCAACAAAACTATCAATTTTACTATATTTTTTTTTTTTTTTTGTCGAAATTTTGGTTTTACTTTGTCCAAAATTTGTACTTAGTGCAAATGTACGAAGCGTTAATGTCCCATCATATGAATTCCAGTGCTATCATATTATCAGAATGTATAATATAGAATCTACTATTATATAAATATAATAATACATAATAACAATATAGATAGTCCACAGATTATAATATAATATATTATTTTATATATTTATATAAATTATTATACCACTCCGACAATTTTTGCCAGTATCCACTCTGCAATTGGCGTCGGGCCAATCAGGCATTGTGCAACATGGCGTGCATGCGTGCGTGCGTGGATTAACTACGATTACAGTATAATATACACCGTATATTACTTGTAGTATAACCCGCCGCTTTTTATGACACAACTTCAATTTAAAAAATCCAGGGGTGTGACTCTATCAGACGAGGCTACGAAAAATCTTGTTTGAATACCAAAATGTTTGTACCAAATATATCAATGCAAAATATGGGGTGAACTAAATAGACATAATATTACTTATATCACGCAGCTAAATACAGTACAAATGTAAAAAACGTAATGAAATTCACACGGAGTTTATGTTTGCATGCCTGGCAGCCAATTGGGAATTGAGGTGTCATTACCCTGAGGCGCTTATATTTTATCCACACACTATATCATCACAGGGAAAGAGTTTGCTGTTCATCCTCTCATCTCCAGCGGATGCCGCACCCCAACTACCATATTCCACTAATGAATATGCCCAACCGACTATTCAACGTACCCCCACCGCAGTACATAAATCAATGCGCCCCAGCCAGAGAGGAGGAACGCCGCTGCCATGCTCTGAACTAATCATGAATGGAAGTAACATGGGTGTCTCGGCTGACTTTTTCAGGGACTCTTTGAAACGTTGAGTGAGAATGTGGTGGCGTATAGCGCCCTGGGCTCAGAAGATGTAAAGAATATTAAAACAACTAAACTTTTCAGTTGTCCCGATCGCAAGCTAGGCAAGGAGAGATAACTTGTCTCGACATAGTACTTTTTCACTTGTCGCCGCGCAATCTGGACAACCGTTATGTGTCCGAGGCTGCATAGAGTAAACCAACAACCACTACTACTGCTACTAGCTGCTGTATGAATTATATCATACACAGTCATTAAGAAGTAAACCACAACACTACTAACTCACTAGGTTCTGTATGAAATTATATATACCGCCATTAGTCCATAGGTAAACCACCCACTACTAGTCTACCACTAGCTCTGTATAATTATATATACCATAGTCATAAGGGTAAAACCACAACTATACTACTAACATCTGTATGAATTATATTACCCATATGTCAATAGGCTAAACGAGCGAGAGGAACTAACTACATAGCCTATTGTATGAATTATATATACCATAGTCATAGGGTAAACCACACACTACTACTACTAGCTCTGTATGAATTATATATACCATAGTCATAGGGTAAACCACACACTACTACTACTAGCTCTGTATGAATTATATATACCCATATGTCATAGGGTAACACCACTCACACTAGCTACTATCTAGACGTGCAGTCAGATATCCGCGCGAAGCGCGAACAGCGCCACATGGCGCATTTAGTAACGACATACCTGCTCCAACCATTTCGAAAACATTTCCACGGTTAATGATAACAAACGGGGTGTTAATCGTCAATTCAGGAGGTTTGGCGCTGACCAAACCTTTTGATTATGGACGTAGGGCGAGAAATAACTCCAATGGCGTAATTGTAATTGTTTTTGTTGCGCGTAGTTGTTTTTGTAACAATAAACACATTTTGAATCCCCTTTTAAATTGACACGCCGTGAAATTTATTGCTCCGATACTCAAATCGCTACCCATAGATTGGGCGACCGGAAGTCTCTCTGGAGCGATGCTTGCGAGGAATTTTGCCACAGAAAGAAGGCAATTAGAGCTTAGACTGCGCCCGCCGTCGATTTGTAACGCTCGATGTTACTATAACTTTAAGTGTAGCAGAGATACTTTGCGTCAATGAACGTGCGTACCAAGTCAAAAATTGGAACACTTGAAAAGCTGACTGAGTTCCGTCTCATCTGGTTTGCCCGCAGCGCCCGCGAAGGTTTTTGGCTCGGCGTGCAAAGATCAAGCCCCACGTACACGGTACAGCATCACACGATCAAATCAGTTCGTTTAGACGAGCCACTAGCGGCACAGAGACCTGTCACAAAGCGTTGCGCAAAAAATGCGGTTGTACCCGAGACCGCACTACTACTACTACTACTAGTACTCAGTAGTAGTTAGTAGTACTACTTAGTTACAAGCAGCTACTTAGTTATAGTACTAGAGCTGAAGTAACTACAGGACCGCAGAGGCTAATAGTAAAGTAATAATGACTAACTCTGTTACGTAATGTATGTAACTAACTTGACGTAACTAGATGACAAACCTAGCTCTAGTAAGCATAGCCGCTTACAGTTAACTGCGCGCTGGCCCGTATCTGCGGTCGAAGCGGTCGTCTCCGAGCGGCAGTTATGTAAGCGGCTATAGTACTCAGAGCTATGACGAACCCTAAGCCATAACCCTAACCGTCTATTATATTGATAAGATATAATATTAGATTGATGAAATGACATTGGTTTTTTATTGGCCATCGCCATACAACATTGGCCATATAATATTGGGGAAGCGCATGTTCTCTATCCTTGAAGCGCACTAGTACTACTAGAGCCTACTATAGGACGATCTAGCAAGAAACGCTGCTTTGCTGAGGGTTGAAGAATAGCCCCTATGCTAGTACTGAGACAGCAGCACTTCGAAGCGTTCAATAAAAATATAATGCTAACCTAAATTACTGAAATCTATTTACTACGAAAATTGTTCCATGTTTCTATATAGGCCTACTCTCTTCAGAAGGTTGCGAGTGCAAGTCTATATATAGACTAGGACTCGCTCCACCGTGCGATTAGCCCATGAGTGACTAAGCCATAAGCCGAGAGTGCGAGAGAGTGCCAGTCTATGGACTATAGCGCGCAGGCGAGCAACTGCTTTCCAACTCCTGTATTCGAGCGCGTCGCGCCATTGGAAACGTTGGGAAAAAACGGTGCGGAGGAGGTTATGGCGCGCGATGAGCGACCGTTAGGTGTTTCGTGATCTTGACAGCCGTTTGCATTACTGCAAGGTTCGCGAATGAAGTAATTAGACAGTCTTTCTGTGATTTCGGGCTACACAGCTCGGTTACGAACAGATTACTCGGTACGAGTTTTATAGCAAGTCACACACTGTGACGTCCCAAAATTGCTACCCTCTGTGTCCCCTCACGTAAATGATTGTAGGACATTTCGCTGGCAGCTAGGGATCCGTGCGCAACCGCCAATCGCATTCGGCGCACGGATGCCATAGCTGCCAGCGACTGCGAATACTGTCGTAAGGACTTCCAGACGGTCAGCCGTGCGCCTTGCCGCGTGAACCTGGCGGCACAATCCAGACAGAGAGAAAGATACATGCGCTGTCCAAGCGCAGAAGAGAAGAAAAATTTTGAAGAGGGAGGAAAATTTCCGAAAACCAAAAAGATATCACCTTTCAGCAACGGTTCTTCTAGTATCCTTCTCATCTGGCTCTGTATGCAGTTAATATCGATACCAATAGTCATTAAGGTAAACCACAGCACTAACTACTACTACTCTGTATGAAGTATATAATACCGATATGTCATAGGTAAACCAACACA